TGGGGTGTCGGTTGATAGACACAGGGAGATAACTTTAGACAATAGAGATGGCGGATAGAGACATACTGAGAGTGACCCTTTCATTGCGACGAGATAGGATAGGGGGTTGGGAAGAAAAGGCGATAAACGATGTTGCGCGCCGGATCAGACTCATGACCGAGCATACCCTGGAGATACGGAGAGGCCAGAGATATGTCGAGTATACCATCTACTTCCATGGAGATGACGGGAGAGTGCACATCACCTACTCGACTATCTTGAGCCTGAGTGGTAGAGTTGTCTGAGAAGGTCGCGGCGTCGTAAGATAAAGTGCGTGGAAAAGGACTAGGAGAGACAGACATTGAGAGGGTTTAGCGTAGGACGATGAGTATGAGTGAGCTGGAGGGAGAAAGGTAGAGAAGATGGTGGAGACTGCAGATGGGTAGGCATGCGATTTCCTTTAGACGAGTTTACTGGTATCAGCTGCTCGTCGAAGGGCGGGGGCCTACGAAAGAGGAGATTGGTAATGTCATACGATCTCTGAACAGATGGACAAGGAGAGGATTTGTCCCGTATGAACTGGTCGCATACGACTACGTCCAGGGAGGAGGCATAAACCCTTGGCGGGTATATGTTCTTACTTATCACTTTACTAACTTGGACGAGTACGATGTGCGAGTTTACATTCCTGCGGCCAGGGCAGAAAGGAATCCGAGTGAAAAGCTGTGGAAGAGTTATGCAAGATTGGTGGCACGAGAAGTAGTAAGATTACAACAGGAGGGAAAGGTAGTCAGTTGGGATACTGGGGTCAGGGTATTCGAAGGTATTCCAAGGTCTCCAGTTATAGGAAGAAACTTATCTAGGTATGAGTGGCACGAGATGATAGAGTTAGTTACTCGAACCAGAGATCCGAGGTAATTCGGATGGAGTGATGAGGAGCGAATCGGACGTGTGGTTGACATATGTGTTCACACGAGGATCAGAGTCCCGTAGAGAGAGATATTTGATAGGACTAAGACATACGGCGTTGGGGTATGATGTGCCACTTCCAGTGCGCTTAGAGGAAGGAGTTTGGGTGCCAATTCTACATTACGGCACTTGGCTAGCGGAAGGGATTTTCTTGTGGACGGTAATTACAAAAGACCAAGGATTTCCCCGACGGGTGAAGGGTATAGGGCATCTTGTGTTTGATGAGGCGCGAGATATAGAGATAGGGCTGACGCTTGCTGGCGCTAGTAGAACCTGGTGGAAGTATGAGGTCTTGGCGGAGGCAATAGTGAGATGACGACCGACGCGCACTTATAGAGGGAGGCCTTTTACCACGCAAGTCGTGGTCGGCCCTCCTCCACAGATTTACCATCCAATAGGGAGCTGGCGGATGGTCTTGCCTAGGTTTGTTATAAAACAAACTTACGGGAGTGTGGACTGCTTGAGGAAAGCAGTCGACCACACTCTGCTCGCGCTTCTGCTGGGACTAGAGCCTCGATTCCGAAAAGCATACTACGCCGTCTGCGTAAGGTGGGGACCTCCGGATAAGGAGACATGGAGAGACTTGATCGACGCTACCTGTTGGGTGGATTGGTTGAGACCTGCAGATCTAATTAACTAGTGTCAAAGGCGCGCATAAGACACGTACGTCGGGCTGGAGGACCTGAGATACTTGTGCGTGCATAGCGAGCAGGAGGGATGCCCGGACGTATGACTACAGGGGTTAGAGTGAGCAGGCCATTAGTGAACGGGGGTTTTACGATTACTGTCCTGCTCAGGGCTCACGTATACGACAACCTAGCAGAGCAGGAGATTTTCCTACAAACCAGAGAATTTTTCCGAGAATACAGACCAGGAGTTCTCGAATGCGTAACTTTTCAGACCAAGATAACGTATGAAGTAATGGTGTGGTCAGCAGGGTACTTACGCGCTGAGTTGTTCTTCAATGAGATGGTAGCAGAAGCAAGGAGTAGGATATGATTACCTTGTCATGACAGAGCACGAGCAGCAGTTGTACAGGTATAAACCTCGAGCTTCATATTCACTCCGGTGGGACCACAAGGGATCCGACTCCAGGAGGAGCATGAGCGAGAGGAACCCCAGAGTAGCTACTTGAGGAATTGAGACGAGCAGTCTCTCCTCAGCGACGTTTTCCCTATGCTCGGGTTGTCTCTAGGCAATTAGTGTGTGACAACGAGACCCTGCAGATTCTCTTGAGGGTGAGCATAGAAGAAAAACTGTCAGACAGCGAGTTCAAAGAACTTGCAGAAGATGTCATACGGGAACAGAGACTAGGAGCGCTGAGGGAGTTGACGAAACAGAGTAAGGTAGTATATGAGATGATCGTATGCGTTAAAGGAAGAGTGCGCTTGGAGATAATTCGGGACGAGACACCCGCGGAGGCCCGAAGCAATATGTGATAGAAGTTCAGGGTAAGAAGAGAGATGAATCGCAGAAGATGGAAGATCTAGAAGGAAGGGAAAAAAAAGAAGAGGAGCATATTATTAAACCAGTGGCATAACAGGTTAGGGAACTCTCCCTCAAGATTCAGGACTGCGGGCCCAACAAGGGAAAAAGTGAGCTGCGCAAAATAGAAGGTGCGACGAAGGCCCTGAGAAGGCTTTTTATAAAGGACAGAGATTTCTTTAGGAGATGGAGGCTAGAGTTTTTGGAGAGTGTCAAGAGAAGAAGTTATAGGAATGAGGGATCACTTGAGTCGACAGGAAGGAAAGAAGAGTTGATAGAGACTGCAACGTCGGGTGAAAAGAAGAATGTTGCAGAGGGTGACGACGAATGAAAAGGGAGAATGAGCTTCGAGAGATACTCTATGCGAGTTTTGGGAAGGTTGGACGGGCCAACCGTCTGTGTGAGAATACAGTTGGAGCAACTAGAAAGGCTCACCGTGCCTGAGGAAGTGGAGAGTACTAGAGAAGCCGTTCAAAAGGCGCGGGTGACTGGACTCTGGGTAGGAGAGGGGAGTGCACGACTGATCTACTATCCGTTGCACTTGTCCCCCTACGATGGAGTGACCCTGAGTAGAGAGTGGCGCGAGTCTCCTGGGAAAGTCGAGAGACTTCTAAAGAGTGAGGCGAAAGTGTCAGGGGACTTTGCAAAGGTCATAGTAGAAAGTTCGGTTCTAAGAATCCTCAAAGCACACGACCAGTACCGGAGTGAGTTTCTTTGGACCCTGGCAGAGATTGAAGATTTTGGGGACATAGACGATTTTGAGGCGTTTTATCAGTACTTGGAGGAGTCCGCGGAGAGGGTTTTGGTAGCCCTAGCCTTGGTCGACATGGAGTGCTCAGGATAGGCCATAGGTATGAGAGAAGCAAGGGCCGTCTCCGAGCGAGAGCTATAGGCTAGAAGAAAGAGATTTCTTGCAGGCAACAGACCTTCGGACAAGGAGTTAGCGGGCGTCTGCGAGCGGTTGAGTTCCTTGGGGCGAAGAGAAGTGATTTCGTACGAAGTAGTGACATATGAGTTAGTGGACAACGGTTGGGAGCAGATACGCCTTTACATTATCACAGTCCGGTTCGTCTCCATTGAGGTGTATGATGTTAGGATTTACCTCCCGGTGGAGCGAGAGAGCGATTTGATTTACGGTCGGTGCTGGGAGCGTGCGGAAGAAGTGGTTGAGAGTGAGCGGGATAAGTTCCAAGCACTAGGTAAGGAGGTAACCTGGGATACCCAGATAACGCTCTTTCAGGGGTTGCCCAGACCTCCTGTACCACGTCAGGTGATTCAAGGGAGGAGCAATGAGGCAGTGATTGGTCTAGCGCTTCGATAGTTTAAGTTTGATGGTCGTCGGGGGTGATTACCTGCGGGCAGGAGCTCGCGCTGTGCATCAAGGGTTGAGAGGTCTAGCGCAGAGAGCGTTGGTGGATATACGGGAGTACTTGTCATCTTGCACTCCAGAAGAGTTGAGAGGGTTCGCGACTGGAATCTGTAGGAGGGTAAGGATACTAGAGACAGGAGTGTTAGAGATAAGGAGAGGTGTTAGTTGCATAGAGGAGCAAGAAGGAGAACTTTATTTTGATTCAGGAATCTTAGGCGTCGAGAGTGAGCATGAGATACGAGACGAGGTCGGGAGACTTGTTGCAATTTTGAGAGCGGTCGCAGACGAGTGATTGAGTTCTTTCATAGGACCGGGCTACAGATGCTTTCATAGGTCTGGGCTGCCAGTTTTGACATTAGGTTCGGGATGCTAGTTCTGACATTAGGTCCGGGCTGCCAGTTCTGACATCAGGTCCGGGCTACTGGTTTGGCGGTCCGGCCTGAGCTGCTTACAAATTCAACTAGGAGAGAAAACAAGTATATGGAATCCAACGCTATGGGACCGCATCCGGACGATGAGCAAGCTGTATATCGAGCATCGTCGGACCGCGCTCTACGAGATCTCAAAGAGCGTCTTCGACAGAACGCCCCTTTGAGCTGCGTAGAGCAGCCGGACGACGGCAAGCCTGAGGTGATGGCACCTCCAGTCGTCACCGAGCCCAACAGGGCCGCCCCGGTCGAAAGGGCCGAGATTCAGACCGAACCTCCGAGTTTTCGGCGTGAATCGGGTATTCAATGCTCAGCTATGTACGAGCGCAGAGATGATAAGGGTGGTTATGGAGGAGAAGATTGGAGAGACTATTTCATTAAAGAACAACTTTGGAGAGATAGGGAGAGGGCTGCCATGGCCAGATGGATTTTTGACCCTGAGACGGGGGAATCACACCCTCTGCCATACGAGATGAGAGATAGGTTCATCATCTCGCATCAACCTTCGGAATTAGATACCAGGCCTCCCGTCTTCCTGGGATGCGGTATTACTAAATACCTGGAGAAGTGGGAGCTGCATGCCTACCGAAGTCAGTGGACTTAGGGAGAGATTATAGACAACTTCTTGTTCAATACAGACCTGAGTTTGAGTCGAGTCATAAAGGAAGCACGACCAAAGGATAGGAGGTGGGCTACCTACAAAGCCAACTTTTATGAGTTTTTTAAGTTAGAAGACGTCAAGTATTCGATTCAAGATCTAAAAGCGTTGACTCAGAGAGAGGGCGAGAGTGTCCAAGCATTTGGTATGTGTTTTCAGAAGGTATCCGATGCCCTCATGACAAGAGGGAAGTTGTCGGAAGTAGAGAGGTGCACGATTTTTCTCAGCAAACTACCTAGGGCGAAGCAAAAGGCGGTGCTGAGGGAGACACCTAATGATAAGTTAGAATTCACTACATTGCTTAAGCTGGCAATGAAGGCAGAAGCCGATGACTACAAGGATTTACTCTGGAGAGGCATGCAGCGAGAGGATTATTCTCTCTACAAAGAGTATGGGACAGATAGGTGTCCAGACTTTAATGACAAACCTTGGGCAGAACGACGTTATCTGATGGACGCCGACAGGCCCCAACGGTCAGGGGATAACGACGCGGTAATAGAGGAGATGAAAGAGACGATGAAGGGAATGGCCAGAAAGATGGCAGACTTCGAGACGAAGGTCGCGACTACGTATCGGGATAAGCCTGGATCCCCCTATTCTTTGCGGTGGGACCGTAGGAACAGCGACCCGTGGAGAAGCATTGAAGATCGGAACCCTCGCACGCCGGCTGATTACCGCGTGAGGGAAAGGGATGAAGAGGATCGGAGACGTAGAGATGAAGAGGATCGGAGACATAGAGATGAAGAGGATCGGAGGCATAGGGAGGATGATGACTGGAGGCGCAGGGATGATGATATAGACAGAGACCACCGGCGTGACGAGTATCGAGGAGGAAACTCCTATAGTCAAGGAGACAGATCTGACCAGTATCCGCGCAGCCCGAGGTACGGAAGAAACACCGAAGGGTACCGAAGCCCGGACAATTTTAACTCGAGGGATAGAGAGGACTCCTGCGACAAATGAGAATTAGACAGGGACCGCCGAGATGGATATCGAAGCGGTTACGAGCAGACAGAGCGAGGGGGATATCCTGCGTCGCCAAGGTACCCCAAGTCCCCGAACTACCCGAGATCCCCCGGACCGTCCAACCAGGACGCCAGGCGGCCAGCTATTAGGAGCGCAGAGGAGCGACCTCCTACACCTAGAAACTCCTGTATCTATTGCAAGGGGGACGATCACCTCAAGAGAGACTGCCCTGACCTCAAACGGGCGATAGATGAGGGACTTGTCGTACTTGATGACTGCAAGTACGTCAAGTGGGCGGATGTGTCGATGTTCCCTTCGATGAAGGAAAACGTGGAGGCTAGGCGAGTACAACCAAGCACGGGTAAGGGAGTTGCAAGAACCCAGAGCGTGAAGCTATGACGAGAGTCTCGTGACACCCATACGAGTGGCGGCAACTAAGTCCGCCAAGGCGTCCTCTTCTAAGAAGGCCGACACCGAGTATGTGATGACAGAGAAAGACGTGCAGAGGATTGAAGGTGAAGAAGTTATACTCTCGCCACGCAAACGAGGAACCAAAAAGTTTACAATGAAGAGCACTTTGGATGATATAGACACGGTGGAGCCTCTCAGACGCGCGCTTAGGCGGCCGATGCAGTGTACGATACTAGAGTATTTGGCAGCCTCGGGACCTGCGCGAGATGAGTTGCAGATGATCACGCGTAAGACGGGCATTCCCCTGAGCGATGAAGTCCAGATGGCTACCAAACAGGAGGTACTACCTTCTGAAGCAGTATCGAGCGTGGTCGCTAAGGCGGACCGTGCAGCAACGGTGTTCTTAGATGGGATGGAAGGACTGCCTCCTGACAAGTTCTATATCCTAGGCAGTCGGACAGTACAGACTACTCTCAATGATGAGGTAGTCCTTCATGCTGTAATTGATAACGACAGCGAGGCTGTCATCATAGATGAAGATCTGGCGGTCCGATTGGGACAGGACCTTGATAGATCATACCAATTCAAGATAGAGACCGCTGGAAGGAAGCAGAAGGTCTCCGGAGTTTGCCACAAGGCAGCGATCGAGGTCGAAGGGTTGAGGGTGATGATGCCTGTTTTTGCAGTTCGGGACTGCAACTTAGAGTTGCTACCGGGACGGACATGGTTGAGCCATGTTCATGCTGTCACTTTAGAGCGCCCAGATGGAAGCCAGATGTTTTCCATCAAGCGTCCAGATGGTGGGCGAATTATGATGAAGACGGTAGAGCCCCGTGATCCGAGGAACAGAGCAATTCTGGCAGCGGGAAAATCGGTCACCCTTGCGGGTCGTTCCTTGAGTTTTCGCGAAAAGAAGTATGGGCCACTACTCACGGAAGAAGAAGGTCACATAGTAGAGATTGAAGACTTAGGTTGCCGAGTCCGTGTGGAAGGAAACTCCTACCCTAAGGTTGAGGATGAAGAATTCGGAGGGATGATATCTGTGTCTTTTTTAAGGGCACAGCCCCCTACGGGGGGCGACCAAAAAGACACAAGACAGTAACTCAGAAAGTCAAGCCGGCGGCTGTAGCTCGTGAGCAATCTGCATTGGAAGGGGTATCAGAGGAAGAGATCGCTAGGGAGATTAAAGAAAAGAAGAGAAAGGAGCCGCAACGGCTGACAGAGAAAAGGATAGCTGAGATGGACATAGGGGATGGGAACTTGACTGAGCAAGAAAACGCACGACTATTAGAAGTTCTTAAGACCTGCGACGAAGCTATAGCCTTCAGTGATGCAGAAAGAGGGAGAATAGATCCTAGGTATGTTAAGCCTGCTAGGATCTACACAATTCCGTATACGCCGTGGAATGACGCAGGGTGGAAATTTGCTCAGAAAGAGAAGGAGGAAGTGATCTCCTTTCTCAAGGAGAAGATGGCGTCACATGTGGCGGAGCCATCTGACAACGCATATGCGAATAGGTGGTTCGTCTTAAGGAAGCCTAGTGGAAAGATTCGGTGGATTCAAGACCTTCAGAAGGTCAATGCAGTGATGATTCGAGATGTAGGCTCCATACCGCACGCAGATCTATTAGCGGAAGGTGCGGCAGGCAGATCCATTTATTATGTCTGCGATTTATTTTTAGGATACGATGAGATACCGCTAGATCCGAGAGATTGGCATCTCACCGCCATGCACACGCCGCTCGGATTAGTGCAGATGATGGTCGTACCTATGGGATGGACCAACGGGGTAGCGGTCTTTCAGAGAGCTATGGTTGTTGTTTTGAAAGACTTTATCACTGATTAAGTTGAAGTTTTCTTGGACGACTTTCCGATAAAAGGACCGGTACTGAAAGACGAAACGGAAGTCGCTCCTGGTGTAAGGAGGCTGGTAGAGCAACACGTGACGGACATTTACGCTGTCTTGGAACAGTTAGATGAAGCAAACCTGACGGTTAGTGGGACGAAAAGCCGGTGGGCGGTGTCAACAATCAAGATCTTAGGGTTTATATGTGATTCGAGAGGCCGCCGAGATGACCCTGGGAAGTTAGAGAAACTCATGAACTAGCCGACACCATTGCATAGTGCTACTGAGGTTTGCCAATTCTTAGGAGTTGTGGGTTACTGGCAGATTTTCATACGCGGATATGCTGAGAAGGCTGAACCTCTGCGCACTCTTCTTAGGAAAATCGAAAAATTTTACTGGGACTCACCTCTAGAGCTTGCAGTGCAATCCCTTAAGGAAGAATTCAAGGAAGGAGGCCGAATTCTAGGCATACCTTTCTTTGAGGATGAGACCAACAGGCCTTTCATAGTATCTACGGATGCTGGGCCGTGTTCAGTTGGGGGATTACTCTCTCAAAAGGATGCCGACGGTAAGGAGAGACCTCTGAGATTCGAGAGTCGAACGCTCAACACTGTCGAACGCAACTACAGTCGATTTAAGAAGGAAGTGTTGGCCGTTCTACGATGTTTGGATGCCTTTAGACATTACATCTACGGGAGACGATTCGTTCTCAGGGTAAACCCTACAGCTGTAGCGTCAGTCCTACAGAAGGATTTCAGTTTAACGGATCCTACGATCGCGCGATTGCTGGTCAGAATTCGACTTAATAACTGTACTGCGGAGAGGATCTCAGGGATGAAGAACGCTGTAGCCGACGGACTTTCACGAATTCTCATTGAGGCAGACCGATTGATATCGGTTGCTGCACTGACTATGGCCGAGCCTAGACGAACGGATCGCTTCCTAGTCAATCTCTACGAAGATAAATACCGCACTATAGGGTTACATCTGTTAGGAGAGGAAAGCACTGATTCGGACATCCGGAGACAAGCGGCATAGTACTGCCTTAGAGCTGGGCATTTGTTTCGTCGACCTGTGGGAGCGGGGATGCCTCTATGAGTGATCTGTGACCCAAAGGAGAAACAGACCATAGTAGCGGAACTACATGACGGAGTGGTTGGAGGATATAGAGGGGTAAAAGGGACGTATGAGAAGGTTCGCAGACTATACTGGTGGGAAGGGTAGTACAAGGATGTTGAAAAGTATTGCGAGACTTGTGAGGATTGTCAGAAGAGATCCATTATCAGATATAAGGAGCCACTTCACCCTTCATATCCTAGTAGACCTGGAGAGAAAGTACACACTGATCTGGTGAAGGTGTCGAAAGGCGTCGGGAACATGAACTATGTAGTGAACATCAGGGACGACTTTACAGGATTTGTCGATGGCAAGCCTATCAGGACGAAGGCTGCAAGAGCAGTGAAGAACTTCGTCCTGGAGTATCTTTCTAGGTACGGGTGTGTTAGTAAGATTGTGATGGATAGAGGAGCAAAGTTCCTAGCGAATGAGGTTCAGAGTGTATTCAAGAAAGAAGGAGCTAGAGTATCTAGAGCTACTGCCCATCACCCTCAGTCCAATGCACCTATAGAACGAGGCCACCAGTCCTTAATAACATCTTTATTCAAGTGGTGCAGTGGAAAAGATAGCGACTGGCCGAAGTATTTCCGGTATGCGGTTTGGGCAGACAATGTCGCAGTTCGGGCCAGCACCGGTTATCCGCCTTATACTCTTTGGTTTGGGAGACACTGTCCTCTGCCCATAGAGTTCCATGTCGATAGTTGGACTACGGTTAACTGGACAAATAGCATGACACGAAAGGAATTACTGGCAGCCAGGACTAGACAGATAGCTTATGAACTAGAAGATAATCTCATGACCGTGGCTAATCGACTGGCAGTGGAAAGAGAGAAAAGCAAAGTGAGATGGGATAAGGACGTCAGAATCAGAAAAGAGAAGATAAAAGTTGGCGATATGGTACTTCTCTATGACGCTGCGTTGGAGAGGACATGGACGGGAAAACTGGCTAACAGGTGGATGGGACCTTATTGTGTAATTGGTGCATTGAGTTGGGGCGCTTATGTGATTGTTGAGCTAGATGGGTCGAAGTGGAAGGATCCTGTGGCAGGAGCTAGGTTGAAGCTGTTTAAGCCAAGGGAGACTCCTGCTCCTCCGCCGACGCGATCAGACTCTAAAGGAAAGGGAAAAGCCAAGGTGTCAGATAGCGGGCCGCCAAGACGGTTCGAGGCAGGTGAGAGTTCTAGGAAGAGGAAGAGAGTAGAGACCAGGAAAGTGAAGGGCTTAACGCTAGTTAAGAAAAAGAAATGGGTCTTTGTTCTACAAAGACCTAAGCGCAGAGCCGGCATTAGAAGGGGTGGCACAATTGATGCGCGACCTCCCCAACGAAGGAAGAAGCGAAGGAATATTCCTGTGTCCAAGCGCCAAACAGAGAAGTGGAAACATATGCGTCATGCGCACATAGTCCACTTAGATCTTGTGCGGTTTGTCTGGCCCAGACAGAGCGGGCTCCACGGGGGCGTCGAGAGGAGGTCCGGGCTTGTTTGTCGGGCGACCGAAGGCCAGTCGGGCGCCCTAATACCGGCCGATTAACCCTTAGAATAGTTGGCTGAGAAAGAATCGACAGGGACTTTTGTCCGACCGGTTGGGAAAAATTAGGGATACCTCGAGCACCCCTAAAATTTGAGATGACGACTGCTGAGACTAGCCCTAGAAATTTGTGAGAGGGACTACCGCTTCGC